AAAAAAAAAAAAAAAAAAAAAAAAAAAAAAACAAACAAAACATAATATTTATACTTTTTTTAATTGAACAAATAAAAATCATATATAAATATATATATATATATATATATATATTTCATCAATAAAATATTAAAAAACGTTCATTCACCAACATCTAAATGATTTAATACAAATTATGAATTATTTGAAAATTTGCAAAAATTTAATTTTATTTTAAAAAATATATTTTTCTGAAAAAAATGATATTTTTTGTAATTAATCGTTTGAAAAAAAATGGTTTTTCTTTTTATAAGAGTTTTCATATTTATTTACATCTTGGTTATAATTACCATCATGTAAATATTTGTTTTGAATTTTATAACTTTTTTTAAAAAGCATTGGGTCTTTTTTTTTTAAATGAATATTACTGATATGCTTAAAACTTTTTATATTTGTATAATTATCATTTTTCATTTTTTTGTTTATATCTTCTCTGTTTTGACTGCTTTTGTTGGAATAATAATTTTTAAAATTTTTATTTATAAGTTTTCTATTAGGATATATATGAAAATTATCATTTTTTTTGTTGTAATTATAGTTAATATATTTTTCTTCATTTTCAAAATTATCTTTGTGCTTATTTTTTTTATAATGGAAATCTTCATCAATATCATCTATATATTTATAATCATTTTCTTTACAACGATAACTTTTTATATCTGTGTTTTTTTCAAGATTTTGTTTTTCATATCTATGATTGAAATCAGAGTTTTTTTTTTCGTACATATTAAAATCGAAATCTTTTTTTTCATAATCACTATTAAGATTTTTTTTATCGTGCTTATTATTTCCTAAATTATTATTTTCTACTTTATCATTATTAAGAATACACTCAGTTTTATTAGATGTAATTTCATTATTAATAAGAAGTTCCTTGTTTTCATAATTCGTCTTATGATCATCATTATTACCATTCAAAATAATATCCTTTGTTTTTTCACTATTGCTAATTTCGTTTAGCACATTTTCCTTTTTTTCTTTATCATTTTTGTGAAAAGTATTTTCGTCTTTTATATTATGGTCATTTTGATTCTCAGTGTTATAATCTTTTAATAGATAGTTATTAGAATCATCTTTTATATTTTTTATAATACTCTTGTCATTTTTTAAGACATTTTTTGCAGTAAATTTGTTTTCAAAATTTTTATCATTTTTCACTTCATATTTTTCTTCATTCTTATAATAATATTTATTTTCATATTTATCATATTTATTTTCATATTTATAATATTTATTTTCATATTTATTTTCACGTCTATATTTACTTTCATTCTTATATTTATTTTCATTTTTATCATAATGATCATGTTTATTTTCATATTGATCATATTTATTTTCATATTTATCATATTTACTTTCATACTTATCATATTTATTTTCATATTTATCAAACTTACTTTCATATTTATTATACTTATTTTCATATTTATCATATTTCGATTCATACATACCATACTTGTTATCATATTTATTATATTTATTTGCATATTCATATTTATCATCAAATCTATCATATTTAGTGTAATACTTATCTTCATATTTATCATCGTTTTTATATTTGTTATGTTTTTCTTTATATTTTTTATCATTTTCATATTTATCTTCATCTTCTACATTATTATGCTTAAATATTTTCAATTTTTCAGAAATATTGTTAGCTCTTTCTTTTAATATATTTTTGTCACCATTTGCATTCTTATCATCTTTGAAATATGTTTTATTATGGTAAGACAGATTACTAAATTTTCTCTTAGTATATTCATTCTTATTATCTTTATAATCATAAAACTTATATTTTTTAAAATATCTATGGTCATAATCATTTTGATCTTCTTTATTTTGATTTTTAAATTTCTTCTCACTTAAATAATTAACTTTTGATTTAAGTGAGTAATATTTATTGCTTTCATTATTTTTATTATTTCTACTATAATCAATATCATTATATGAATAATTTTTATCAACATTTTTTATTTTACGATTAGGCAAGTTGTTATCTTCATATTTAGACATATTTGAATATTCATACATTTTCTCTTTTTTTAATTTATAATTTTTTTTTTCATCTTCACTACTACTACTATATCTCATATCTGTTCTGTATTTATTATTGTCTTTATTAAAAATTTTTTTGTAAAATTGATCGTTTTTACATGCATTTTTTTTTTTATTTCTTTTTTCCAAAAAATATTCACTTGAATCACTTTCATTTTTTTTGTAATCTTTTTCTGACTTGCAATTTATTTTATCTATATATTCTTTAAAATAATATTTTTCATAATTTTTACTTATGCTTCTTTCTTCATTTTTTATTTTTATATTATTTCTACTACTGCTTTTGTTTTTATCTTTTTTTTTGTAACTTTCTTTTCTAATATGTATTCTTGAATTAAATAAATTACTTTTGTTTTTTTTTTCTTTCATAAACAAATCATTATTTTTCAAAAATTCGTGTTTTTTTTCTTTTTTATATTCATCTTTTTTTCTTTCCTTTTCTACATCATCTATTTTTAAAAACGACTTTTTCCTTAAATCCTTAATAAAATTATATGCATTTTTATCGCAAATATCTTTCTTACTTTTTTTAAAATTAATTCCATGTATATAATCGAAAGAATCACTATAATAATGTTCATTCATTTCTTTTATTTTTGTATTTATTTTAAATGTGTCATCAAAATTTTTCATTTCATTTATTTTACTATTAGATTCATTTAAATTTATATTTTTGTCTAATGATAAATTATCTATTACATTAATATCTATATCACTGAAGGTTCTTCTTTCTATTAGTTTATATTTTTTTTTTTTCATAATTGATAATTTTTTGTGAATTGATTGATTAAAAATATCACATGTCTCTTTTGAATTATGAGTATCATCTTTTTCAGAAATAGCAATAAGGTTTATTTTTTTTGTTTCAAATTTATTTTCCATATTGTTTTCATTATCATCACAATCAGTTTTGCTGTTAATTTCTTTTTGATCACTATTTAAATAATCTATTTTATTTTTGTTATTATAAAATTTCATATTAGAGCCATCTTGAGAATGTTGAGAACTATTATTTATTTCTTCCTTGATTTTTCCTACTTGTTCTTTTTTCTTTAAGTTGCATAATTCATTATTAAAAGTAGTATTTACTAATTCCTCTTGTATGCTATTCTCATTTTTCTCATAATGTTCAATATTTTTAACATTCTCACAACTTTCATTTCTTTCAATTTTTTTTTTTTTTTTTTTTTTTAATTCATAAGAGAATTTTGTATTTTGAGAACTTTCTTCACAATAATCTTTACTATTCATTTTTTCATACTTTATATATTTACTTATTTTAGTTTTACTGAAATCATCATTTTGATTATCACTTTTATTTCCTTCTTCACTTTCAATTTTATTATTGATATTACTTTCTTTATTTTTTATTAGAGGAGTATGATTAGAGATAAAAGAACCATTTTCTATTTCATTCAAATTTTCTATAACTTGATTTGATTCACTTTTTATTGATTCATTCACATCTATAAATTTATTCTGTTCATTTATTACATGAATATTTTCTATATTTACTTTTTTTGAATCAATTATTGCTTCTTTGATTTTTTTCTTTTTCTTTTTTTCATTAACTTTTACTTTATCTTCACTAGTAGTTACATTCTTTGATTTTTTTTCTTTAAGCTCCTTATCAATCAGTATCTTTGTTTTTATTTTTTTATTTTTTTTTCCATTGTTTATTTTTTTTTTAGAAAAATCTTCATTAAAAACTGATTCGTTATTTAATTCATTCTTTTCAGTATTTTTTGTTGTATTTATATAATTTTTTTTTTTTTTTTTTTTTTTAAAGGTTTTCAGTAATGTTTTTTTTGATTTAGTTTCTTTTTTCTTATTATTGATTATACTCTCGGTTAATGTTTTAGTTTTTTTTTTATTCATACTTAATTTTTTATCATTTTTGTTTTTTGTTTCACAAATGTTTAAGGAAGATTGAAATTTTTCAATATTATCTTTCATTTTCTTATATGTTCTATTAATACTTTCATTTAAGCTTTGATTCATATAATTAAATCCTTTTATGTTTGCATCTTTTTCTGATATGTTACTATTGCTATTAAGAAAAATATCATTATTGCAATTAATAATATTATTATTCACATTATCATTTTTACTAATGTTGGTATCTATATTATTTATTTTACTTTTACTGTTTCCTAATTTGTTTTTTTTTAAATCCTTTGTATTTTCTGATAGTTCATTACTTACTTTTTTATATTTCTTTACTATAGATGATTGCTCTTGAAAATCTATTTCAATATTATGAAATTTATTTTCATTCAATTTTTTTAATTTTAATTTTTTCTTGTCGGTTCTTTTATAATTATCTACATCATTATTATTTTCTAATGCTAATGTGTTATTTGTTATATCTGTATTAATTTTGTTATATTCTTCTTTTTCTTTATCTGTGTATATATGTTTTTTTTCATCTTGTATATTAATATATTTTTTAAATTTATATTTTAGTTGAGGTATTTGATATTTTAAATTATTATTAAATATGCTTATTTCATTAATCATTTTTTTAAAATCGTAATTAAAAACAGTTGTACCTATTTTTTTTATTTTATTAGAATTACTGTTATCAATTTCATTAAAATTAATATTATTTGCATAATTAAAATATATAGTACTTTCAACTTCATTTTGGATATCTTTATTAATATCATCATGACTTTTTTTGCATTTATTGTTGTTTTCTTCATTATTATAAAAAAAAATACTTTTTTTATTTATTTCATCAACATTATAAGCTAAAGAAACTCCTTTAGAATAAATAATTACACGATTACTTAATATATGTTTTTTTAAATTCTTTGCATTTAATATAGTCATCTTTATTTTACTATTTTCACATTTTTCATTCTTATTTATTATATTATTTATATTTCCTTTTGCGTTAGTACTTAATTGATTAATTCTATTTTTAATTAATTCTTTGATACTATTTTTATTTTCATTATAATCCATATTAAATGTTATATATTCATTATATTCCTTTTGTCCTTTCTTATTTTCCTTATCGAAACTTTTTTTATCATTATTTGATAAACTTCCATTGTTTATATTTGCTATATCCAACTGTGATTTAAAATTTTTAATTTTATTTTCATAGTTTTTTCTATTATTATGTGAATTATTTTTAATATTTTTTTTAAAATTAGTTTCATTTTTTGTACTATTTTTATTTGAAAGCAGTGGATATTTTAAAGCATTTTTTTGTATATTGGTTAAATTATTTTTATTATTATTATTATTATTATTTAAAGGTATATTTTCATTTTTATTAATTGAATTACTATAATTACTTTTATCATTAACTTCTTTTGTTGGAAACTTTAATAATTTATCAAAAGAGTCATTAGAAGAATTATTAAAAGTATTATCATTTAAAATAGAATTATTATTAGATATAGTTCTAATCATTTTTTTTTGATGATTTTTATTTAAATCATTATTATGATTCTTTCCATTTAAATAACTTTTTATTTTAATAAAATCATCTATTAGTAATTTATCAAAATTATTTTTTAAAAAATCAAGATTTTCTTTTTTTAATTTAATATTATTATTATTATTATCATCATTATTATTGCTGTCGTTATTATTATAATAATTATCTTCTGTTAATTGCATATCATAAATGCTCAAATTATTTTTGTCATATGAAATATTCATTTGAGTATTTATATTGTTATTCAAAAAATTAAAATTAGGATCATTTTGATTAATATTACTTAGAGATCTACTTTTATATGTTTTTTTTTTATTTTTTGTGGTATTTAAATTATAATTTTCCATTAATTCTTGAAAATTTTCTTGTGAAGATAAATTATAATATAAATTCGAATGATCTAATGACTTACTTAATATGTTTGATTCTTTGTTAAAATTATTGTTATAATAATAATTCTTGTCTTCTTGTTGCCCTTTTAAATTGTTAATATACTTAAAATTTGAAAGGTTCGATTGAATATATTTTGTGTCATCATTTGAAATAGAAAAATTTAAATTTCTTTCTAATTTTTCATTATTACTATTACAACATAAATAATTTGAAATTAGTTCATTATCATCCTCATTATTGGAATATTTCTTAACACTTTTATCATTAATATAAGAATTGTCAAATATATTATCGTTTTCTTCATTATTATTATTATTTTCATTTTTATAATTATTATCATTTATTCTATCATGCATTAATATATCAATATTATTAATACTAATTTTATTATCCATCTCGTAATTATTTGTTTTATTAAAAAATATTTCATTATTTACCTTTTCATTAATAATATTACCTTTATATTTTTCGTTTTTCATCCTACTTAATATATCACGTATGTTTTTATTATCATTATTATTATCACTATTATTATCATTAGAATTTTCCCTTTCATAATCATTATCATTATTCATACCATCTTTGTAACTAATGAAAGATGTATTTAAATTGTTAAAGTGGTTCACAAAATGAAAGTTATTTTCTAAATTATAATCATCTATATTTTTATTTTCTAAATTCGGGATATCTCTCATAAAATTATATAGATAAGAGATTTTAATTTCATTTTCATATTTCATTTTCTTTTTATTAATTTGATCCTTACTTTTTCCACTTAATTCTAGATGTGAACTATACATATTAACATTGCTATTATAATCATCATCATCATCATCATGATCATCTTTATTATCATCTGGATAGTAAAATTTTATATCATTTTGAATATTTTTATAAAAATAATTTAAACGTTGTGTTAATTTATTTTGCTTCATTTTATATTCACAATTACAGTTAATTTTTTTTCTGTGTTCTTTTGTTAAAAAACTATCTGATAAATAATTTTTTTCTCTACAATTTTCAGAAATATTTGTAATATTCATATTACATGAATTTGATCTTTTTACTTTAATAAAATTACATGAATCGCAAGAATTATTATCATATAAATTCCTATTTTCTGAGTTCAAATCTCTTAAAATTTCATTATTATTCTCAATGTAATCATAATTAAATTTCGGTAAAGAATGAAACATTTTATAATAATTCCCATTATTTAAATAATAATTTAATTTAGTATTTTTTAATATATCCCAATAGTTATTATCTTCTTCAGTACTCATATTCTTGTTGTTTATTTCTTTTTCTATTATGTTATCATCATTTTCTTTTATATAATTATTTTTATGAACTTTATCGGAAGAGGAATTTTTTGATATATTCAAAGAATTCGAAAGAAAATTTTTCTCATGGGATGTTGAAGTAGAAACTGAAAAATTATTAAATGATGTTTCATTTTTACTCCATTTTTTTTTATGATTCACTATATCTTTATTACTACAAATTTCATCATCATTATTCCCATAATTATGTAATAACAGTTGATTATTTTCATAATTTATAGATGGTATATAATTATTCTTTATTGGAGTATTTAAGAAATTGATTGATAAATTATGAGATTCGTTTTTTTTAAAAGATAAGAAGTTTTCATTTAAAGTATCATCATTTATTATACTATCACTTAATGTATAGTTATTATATACACCGTTTTCATAAGCATTTATATTTGAAATATCTTTGTTCAAAAAATTTTTATTGTCATCATTTGATATAATGATATTACTACTATCATATAATTTGCTAGAATCATTATTATTAGTTATACATTTGTTATTTTTATTTAGTTTAAATTTTGTATCATTATTATTTTTATTTGGATTCTTCGTAACATTGTTTAAAAAATTTTTTACAATATTTTTTTTTTCATTTTTTTCCTTTTTTTGGTTAATCAAATTGTAAGAATGTAAATTTTTATTATCAACATTTTGTAAATTTTTATTATTTACATCTTGTAAATTTTTATTTTCTGTATTTTCTAAATTATTATTTTCTTCAATATATATTTCTTCTTCTATATCACAATTATTATAATTACTCCAAAAGTTTAAAAAACAGTACCATTTATCTGGTAACAAATTAATATTAATATGTTGATCTAATTTTCTCCATTTTTTACAAAGTTCACATTGTACCCAATTTACTACATTATTAGCAGTGTTATTATTTATTGAATTATTATTTATATTATTATTAATACAATATTTGCTATTTAAATTATTACTTGTATTATTATTATTATTATCATTAATTATATCATTTTTATCAATATAATCAATATCATTATTATTATGGTCATAAATTCCTTTATTATTTTGATTTTTTCTTAAATCAGAATATATTTTAGACATAATTATATTATTTTCTAATAATTTATTTTTTAAAAAATCATTATTCCATATATTCTCATTTTTTTTATTTAAATTATAATTTGAATCATCATTATAATATAAAATGTTTTCATTATTAATATTTTTATAATTTTGTATATTATTATAGTTTTCATTTTTTACATTTTTCATTTCTTTGTCTTTTTTCTTTTTCCTTTTTTTTATTATTTTTATTTGTTGCTCTATGTCACTTTTTTTTTTTTTTTTTTTTTTTTTTTTAAAACTTTTGCTTTTTTTCGATATATTAAACATATTTATAGAATTATTATTTTCTTTTTTTTTTTTCCTTTCTTTTTTTTGAATAATACTTTGTTTTTCTTCTATATCTTTTCTATTTTTTTCATTTATTTTTTTATTAAACTTATCAGATTTGATGTAATGAAGATATGAAGAATGAAATGGTAATGTATTATTTGTCTTTTTATAGTTTCTACTTTTTCTTATATAACTTTTTATATATATATCTGTATCACTCATATATTTTTTACATTTATATAAATCACCTTTTCTTTTTTCATATATATCTCCATCACTATTACTTTTTTCATATATGCTTAAATCATTTTTTCTTATAGTATATAAATTAATATAACTGTTATTCTCTTTATGTAACTTATTATCATCACTATTATTTTTCCGCTTCTTTTCTTCGACTAATTTTTTTATCATATTACGATTCTTATAAGTATCTTGTATATTGTATTCAGAATTATTATTAAAAATAGTATCTGAAAAGTAATTCATATTATTTATGCTTAGATGATTTTTATTTTCTTCTTTTTTAACATTTTTTTTTAAAAAATTTACATTCTTTTTTTCATTTCCTTTTTTGGTTTTTTTTTTTTCATTTAGTAACATATCTATATCATTGCTGATTTTTTTTTTTTTTTTTTTTTTTTTTTTTTCTTTTCATTTTTTTCTTCGTTTTCTTCTTTTTTTGTTGAATAATTATTACTAAATTGAGAAATCAACTGATTAGTATTTAAAAAATTATTATTTTCTGAACTTTCATTCATTTTTTCTTTGGTTTTATATTCATTTAAATTATTCGTTTTATTATCAAGAATTTCTCTATATAGAATATTCTTATCATTTTCTAAATAAACATTATTTTTTATTTGATGTTTTACTAATTTATTTGAAAAATTAAAATTATTAACATCTGAATTAGTAAAACTAGTTAATTTTTTATCGTTTGATTCTTTTGAATAATTATTATTATTATCACCATCATCATTATTATCGTTAATTATATCATTGTAATTATTATTACCAGCAGTGGTAGAATTATTATTACTATTATTACTTATCTTATTATTACCAGAAGTAGTAGAATTATTATTACTATTATTATTATTATCAGTATGATTAATTATATCATTGTAATTATTATTATTATTATTATTATGTTTATCATATGACTGGATATTATCATTGAAATCATTAATAATATTATTTTGTTGATAATTTTTATTAAAATCATAATTATAAGTAACAACTTCTTCTTCTATATCACAAGAGTTATATTTTTTATCATTATTTAAATTGCAATACCACACTTTCGGTAAGCTATCCATATTTATATTTGATGGTAATTTTCTCCATTTTTCACATAAATCACATTGTACCCAATTATCCTTTTCATGAATATATAAGTCTGTATTAACATTATTTTCTATATTTGTTTTATTATCATTGTTTTGATAATTTATATTATCTTCATTACTTAAATTATTCCATTTAATTTCAACATTCTCAGTATTATTTATTTTATTTTTATTATTTGAGCTGTTCAAACTATTTATATCTAAATTTATTTTAGGATATTTCTTTTTTGCACTCTTTCTTTTTAAGGAATTAATTTTTGTATACAAAGATTTCTCATTTTCTTCATTTATATTTTTTCTTATTACCATAATTTTAGAATAACGAATAAAAAAAAATATATATAATTTACTATAATTCTTTTTATTAAGGCCTTTTATAATTTTATTTTGTCATTAATTTGTAATTTATATAAAAATGATCAATATGATAAAAAACTATTATAAGAAACTTACTGTAAAATTTTTACATTTATATCTCTTAATATTAAAAAGTACCTTATTTTTCTTTTTTTTTTTTCTTTTTTTTTTTTTTCTTTTTTTTTTTTTTTTTTTTTTTTTTTTTTTTTTTT